GTGATATTTTATCTCAAATTCGAGCCTGATTTCTGCAATATGTAACACGTTGAAAATTAGAGTTGCAGGAATCCATGCAAGGCACGTTTCGCGGTCGGGATAATGAGGGTGCACCGATTTTGTTAATTGCCGCCTGAGCTTTCTTCGCAACCCCATATGCTTCGATATCGAGATTGAGAATTTCTGTAAATTTTTCACTAAATTGTATGTAGAAATAACAAACAGAATTTTTTGTACTGTTATTAATAGGCCAATTCTGTAGTAACACAGCCGATAACATAGCGTTGTTATAAGAGCGCAATGTTCTGCTTATTTCTTGGTAGTAAAAACTGAAAATGCTAACTATTGGCTGTGCGATCAGATGTAATTTCATGTGAGCAAAGCAAGAAAGAATGTTATGAGAACTGCATCTTTGTGTTGCACATGTATAACATACAGTTTTGTGTAAAACAGTTATGTGTAAAACACCTGATCATAAAGTAATTAAATAGACATTTTTGCAATTTTCACTACCAAGTAACAAGCATAACAAAGCGTTATGTAATAAATAGTAATATAAATGCAGGAAGCAATATCAATCTATATAAGTTGTCCAGCACTTCATATTCTATTACTATTCTCCCAAATGAATATCTTGGTCCAATATCGATTGGTTTTATTCCTGAGGCATGTGTGGAAATATTGTCGGATATGACGTGATATGCAATGACCCCGGTCATCTAACAGCTACTATCCTTCTCGGGGCTAAAATTTCTATGGAAGCCGCGGATATTTGATTTCTTGTCAAAGTTTTCGTTTACGAGCTTTCGAGCTTTCCGAGCTTGCAGCTAAACAGGGCTGGGGAGGAGCAGATTGCATCGAGTTCAGTCAATAATAATGATTAGGGATATATTGAGGAAGTTTGGACTCAGAAATGCTCGGTCGTTTGATTTCTTGATATTGAGAATTTTTGAAGATATTGATTAAATTTTGCTTCACAAAAACATCAGATGATCATGGTAATATTCAATTATTTTAAAAGCCACTTATTAGATAATCTTTCACCCTAGTAAAAAAGGGAATATTGTGGATACTTGTGATATTATCTTTAAGAGATTTTTTTTCTAAATATAAATGTATAAGTAATTATTTTCTAAAAACTATCATTTATATTACTCAAATACAAAAAAATATTACCCTTGGTCTCTTGGTGTAAAATAATACTTTAACATAGGTCAGAGTGAAAATATTCAATTTGAAACCATATTTCTAAAGATTCCACAATATATTATCTATCTATCAAAGAAATGCTAAACATCAATAAGTTATCTTCCACGAATTGAAAATCCTCAGCCCTAAACAAATCCAATAAAAATAGATATACAAGAAGCGAATGTAAGAAAAATAAGTTTTATGCTGTTTGATTTGTTATTCTTTCCATATATTTCATTGTCGTAGACAAAAGAATAAGGGGACGTATATATTATACGCCCTGTTTATCACAGAAAAACATACAAAATGTGAGACATGGATTTTTAACGCAGATGACAATACACACGACATAAGAATAAAATAATACCTACTATTTTAGATTTTGAAAATGTACTGCGTAAAATGAAATTATGAAATTTTTCTCTATTTTAAATTGAACTGATTGTGCGAATTCATTCTCTATATTAACTATTCCTCATAACAACTACAAATTTCAGGAGGCTAAGATTTATGAATCTCTATTCGATACGTTTTTATAGCTCGAATGCATCTATTATATAATTAATTTTATAATTAAAAGATTCAATATTATATTATATTATTTTCTAATGTTTGAATATTGGGCCAATATTGCCAATATAACCACATGATTGGATGAAGCTCGCTTTTATATAAGCTGGACAATATTGGTTTTGCCCTGGTGACATTGGAGCAAAATGGTAAAAAATCACATTTTTGGTTATAAATCAAGTGGGAATTTTACTGATCATAGTACTATAGTTGTTTGTTTGATATGCAATATGTATTTTGATGTAGTTCATTTGGTTTGGATAATATAATTTCTTGAATTCAAATTAGACTTTTGTGTCCCATCTACTTAAAAAAAAAATTATTTGATCACAATAGTTCATAGTAGTTCTAATCAAGATATATTCCATAATCAATTTTCAATCATTTGTATAGTATTTCCTACCCATACATCTCTTTTATAATCGTGACTAATAAAATTTAACGCGTTTGTTTTTCAGCCAATCGAATCGGACGCGCGGTCGGACTTTCGAGCTATCGCCATGATATTTCCCAACATTCATTTTCGATAGTGATCTTAATTGAATTTTTGGTATTTAATCATTCGTTGGATGCATTTTGCTTTTTGCAAACTGCAAAAACGTCGGCCATGTTACCATGACGTAGCGTCCGTATTAAATGCGACATCAAATTTGCATTAATTTATTGCGTTTCCAAGCCCGCCACCCACCAGGCTTTTAACTTTTCAGATAAAGGCAATAAAAAACTCACAGAATGACAGTTATTGCAGCTAATTTTTCAATTATAACAGCCAGTTTGCATCTGATGCAATATATATATATATATATATATATATATATATATATATATATACCTATGGACGTCACATTTGAGTTTTGACCGAAACGTAACTATTAGTGCGGCATGCAGTTGAGCGATTTTAAAATACGCATCCAAACGATTTTTTTGCTTGCTTTTGCACAGATTTGATTTCAGGTAAAACTCATATGACTTGGCATTAAATTCAGCTTTATCTTTCATTAAGAACATTGGCAAAATTACTCTGAAGCTACAGAATTCAAAACCCAAAGTAAAAATATAGGTGATGAATGAATAAACGCTATTGTAACGAATTATTATATTAGGTCATTGAATAATTTATTTCTATTATTACCATTCAAATTATAATATTCAGAAAGACTTCTTTAAGACTCTGTGATAAGCATGTTGGTCCTAATCAAGTAGTAGCAATACTAGTTTTCACTTAAAATATTGATCTAAAATAAATTTACAAGTAAACATAGTCTTTTCTTGGCGTTGATGCATCAAATTAATATTTTATTGTTAGTTCAAAAATATATAAATAAAAAAATATATTAAATATGATTAGGGCAACCAATGGTATGTTTTCTAAGAATAGAAGTTGCTAACTTGGACATTGGGATGTCTAAAATGTAACATTGTTAGAACATTGTTATTTTTGAAATTTGTAGAAAAATTTTAAATCGGTTTGTTCGTTTTCTAAAATAAGACTGAAAATTGTTAAAACGAAGGCCCAGCACAAATGTTAAAAAAAATACTATCGAATATTAGTCGAACTCTGACAATATTATACCCTGCTCTTCACTATTCATTTTCCATCGATATATCAAAATACAAAACAGCCCCGATAAACGCTGTTTTGATTTTTGCCATTCGGAATATTACATTCGTATCCATTAAAATATCAATAGAGAGAAATATATCAATCGGCATATAGTAATGCAAATGTACTCATGTCGAGTAATTGAAATTCAGTTTATTGTTTTCCATTATAATAATTAAATTATTTATAGCAATACCGAAACTATGGTAAAAGAGTATTCGTAATTATGTATATCATTATGATCACGACAAATATGCATACTTCAATTCGAGGAATCGAATTTACGAGGATAAATGATAGCGAATGTGTGTAACTGGAATTTAAATTTATAACTGGATTAAATATTAGTAGGTAAATTTAATTAGTGCTGAATAGTTAACAAAGTTTATTGGATTAAATATTTCTTCAACACCATAAAGTCTTCTAAATGATTCCTCAATATCTTGTGCATGTTTTATGCAATAGTAAGTGAAATAATATATATCTCCGTTCTTCTGGCCGAATATATTTAAATATTCAAAAAGTGTTCGTAGCTAGTATTGGATTTAAGTTCCATATTTTACACATATAAAAGATTTACTACTTTATCGGCTGAGCAGGCAAAACTCACACAGAATATGAATTGGAGATGGTACAGTCTGGGGGATATGATAGAACATATTGTATCGTATTGAAATAAATATAAAACAGGAAAATTTATTATTAAAAAAATAGTTCAAAAAACAAAACGGCATTTTGCATACTGTTAAGTCAAAGCTTTTACTTTTTGGCAAGGGCAAGTCCAGGCGTTTGGGATGTGCACAAAATAGCAGTTTCTTGTAACGGCATTTATTAGAGTGATTGAAAAAGCTTCAACTCGTATTGAAGGAAAACGTGCTGATTAGTTATTGGCACAAGCAGGTCCAGCTGTTTGGGAGGTACCGAGCAAAAAGTTCCAGCAATTTTCATACCGAACAACGCCATCACCAATATTGACCAAACCAAATTAGTGAGACTACACCAAATTAGTTCCGCAATGATTATTTATATTAAGTTTATCAAAAATTATTTCTAAATTTCCGAATTATACATTTCACCCCGAATGTATCGAAATGGGCACGCATATGCGCCCCAAACCCCCGCGGACGATCTCTATGGCATTGTATGTTTCGAGGTAAAAAGAGAAATATCATGATATTTTTATTGAATTTTCAACACGCTTTATTTTATAGGTTGATATCTCTGCGGGAATGCGAGTTTCCCTACTCGGGGAAAACGGGAAAATTTAAATATTCGTTCGACGCTGCCGGGCATACATACGAGGGCATTATTTGTACCCTCGAACAACAGAAGATCTGATGTCTTTTAACAATTGATTCTAGTAGCCCTACGTATTAGTTATGGCTGTTTGCCCTCGGGGTAATAAATGTTGCTTTGTGATTTAAGAGACCATGCTGGAGAGGAAAACATAAATGATTTAATTAGTAACATAGAAATTTATTAACTTTCCGCAGGGTAAGTTATTGAAATCGTCCAAAAATCTAAATCGAAAATTCTTGAAAATCTTCACGTTTCAAAGGTTTCTGAGCATTTTTGCATACCTTAGAAAAAAATGCATGTGTGTATGTGTATTAGTGGGTACAATTTTTTAACGGTCATGGATGATCCCAAAGGCAATCGATTTCCATGGATAGAAAGACGTGCTGATCAGGTTTTGGCAGAAGTTGGTCCAGCCGTACGAAGTAAAGAGTGCAGAAGATAGAAATCGATAGAAATATATATATATATATATATATATATATATATATATATGATAGTTTTGTCGACGTTGATACATATTTGTAATATTTTAGCAGGCCAACCGTCGAATTAAAAAAAAGATTAAATAACAAAATTATTTATTCCATTAAACGTTTCGACACTTGATGTGTGTCATCATTCAGTAATCTAAAAAACATAACATAAATACAAAGTTGATGATAAATATAAATATATAAAAAGGAGGAAATTATACATATCAAACCAGGAAAACAACAGAAAGAATTAATTATGATGTAAAATTGATTGACACTAAGTTTGTGTAAAATAAAAAAATACTATTATATTAACAAACGAGAAATAGAAGAAGCACATATTGCCCTCCTATATTTAATGTTATTGATAGCAATGCATTGTGGACACTAATCAAGGTTACAACGCAGTGTAGTCAAAGGAGTGGGAGAGAGTAGTGAGAAACAAAAGAGGAAAGAAATTTAATTATTAAAGTTATTTAATCTTTTTTTAATTCGACGGTTGGGCTGCAAAAATATTACATATATATATATATATATATATATATATATATATATATATATATATATATATAATGCACATAACCATTATCAAAACTATCTAATAATAGCTGACTTACTCAACGCGATTCAATACTATCATTTTCCATTTACGGGTACTATATAAGGCTTCACATTATATGAACTACATAATACTAAAAATATTCATAGCATATTATTAAATCATACTCAGAATCCTTTCCTATTGAATCTGAAACTCTTTTACGATGCCGAGACGAAGGCGAGATTAATTGTTTGTATGTAAGAAATATTCTTTTGATAACTAGTCACGCACACATTACTAGTAGCTTTAAAGTTATAAATCTGCAATCTAACAATATTATAAATTGTTTGACAACATAATTAATCTAGCTTACGGAATCATTAATAACGTATTATGTTTCGTCGTCTCATTTATCCGAATGACTTTAGTATATAGGTATAGAGTGCTATATAAGGTTCTTCTCTGGGCCATGAGGTGGATAATATATATTGCACGGGTGTTCTTCAATACAGGCTGCCGCGCTCTTTTGTTCACTAATGAAAAAGCGCGAACTATTCAAAATAGAAACGCTACAAAAGATACCAGGGCTATCTCGTAGAGTAGCGAGTGGAAGAGATTTATTAAGTCGATGGTGGAATTAAAATTGCTGTTTGGACATTAAACCGAGAGGCCAATTCTCTGGTAAAATGGGCCATAACATAGCGTTGTTATGGCAACGCTGTGTTATGCTCCTACTTTGGTACCAAAAACTGTGCTAAGAATACTACATAAGAACAAACCTTAAATTTATTATCACCTCATAAGACTATAAGAATTATTACCTAATTGTTGACTAATTGTTAAGTAAATAAATCACAACTTTTGATACCTGACTATTTAATCCATTCTATTATTTTCTCAAAACACAAACCGATTTTTACATTTTACCAATATTAATCATTAATCCTTTTATATAGACTCATCTCTGGGCCAGAATGTTACCAGCAGGCAAAATAAGGTGACAATCATGCCTTGATTTACTCTCAGCAATCCTCCGATAATAAAAAATAACACATCCAAAGCATCCGGCATTATTTTAAAGATTTTTTTCGATTTTTCTATTGATGTTGGTTATAGAAAATGAATGAGTCTGCACCAGAGTAGAAACTTCATTATCAGAGCTCCTAATATCGGTGGTCGTATCACGAAGTAGGGCTCATAGTCCTGAGATACAAAATTTGAAGTGTTGATATTTTCAGATTTTTTATCCATCCTGCCCAATTTTCTTGATCTGATTGTTCATCGGAGATTGAAATTTTATAAAAACATGGGCTAAAACATATATTGATAAGTATCTAAACGTGACGTGATATTTAAATAAAAAAAGTTTAAATCATACCCCTGATAAATTTTTCACATTTATAAATTTTATTTCAAATGAACAAAGTCAAAATGTCGATGCGCTCATATTTTCTCTTTGACGTTTCAAAATTTTATATTATAGGATTATAGCCTTCTAAGATTTTTATTTAAATCAAAATAAAACTAGTGGGGTGTATGGCATCGTGCCTTAAGGCAAATTGCTAGAACTTCCCGTACCGCAACGAATTGTTCGAGGAATACTGACTGCTTGATATTTTACCATAACTCGGTATAATAAAAACATTCCATGTCCTCTAATTCCGGCAAAGTTGAAATTGCACGAAAAAGCTTTATGATGGAAATTTTGAATTATTCTTGATTCTCTCATTTTTTTCGTTGGTTTCAACGACAGTTTGAAGTCTTTTCACCGGCATTAAACTATGATGATGAGTCGCGCTGGTTTTTTTACGATTCCATATAGGCGGCGGCAACGTGCGGGAAAACTAAGAGTTCCCCAGCCGGCCGTTGCGCTAATTAAATGTTCTGTTTTGCGGTCTTCCCGCGGGTGCACTACGGGAAAGCGGTTATAGACTAGATGCCAAGATAGGAGGAAAAATTGTTTAGGATAGGATTGATGAAATATGAAGTTTGTTTATAAATCAAATTATTTGTTAACTGGTGGGGTACATGGCATCGTGCCTTAAGGCAAATTGCTGGAACTTTCCGTACCGCTAATTAAAATGTTGGTACGGAATCCAAAAAAAATTACACGAAATGTGTACACATTATTAAAATCTCTATAAAATATCTGATGATTTGATGTACATATGTCCAATAAACATTTTGGACCGCCAAATTACTTCGGGTGTGGACGGTTGTGACACTCGCCCTTTTTTGTAGAATTCGAGTTTATGACTCCATCGAATTTAGGTACAGATAAATGTCTAAATAAGCAATTTGTTAGTTTTATTTTTAGTATTTTCGAAAAAAAGTAGGCAAATGTTTAAATGACCATTTTTTTACTGATAAATTAACAAAATTATTGCTGGTCAAAAAATCTTGCACAACCGTACTCTCTGTCTACACTACTTTAATAAAATTTTAATCGATATTATTATACCAAGTAGATTTTATCTTTAAATTAAACTTGCCAATCTTGCATTACGTCTGATTATTCTACAAATGAAATGTATTTATATTATTAGACAATTTGGAATCATTTAAGAATAGTTTTTATCCTCGATCCCGATAAAATCTAATTCCTATCTCACCACATCCCTTTTTGATATCGACACGCCGATTTAAAAAAACACAATACACCATAAATTTTGCGGTGTAATCAGATAAATATAATACAATTTATCATGAAATTATACCCAAAAATCATTTCGCAACCACACCAACGTCGCCCGATACCATAAAACATTGTCATCCCCTTTAAAATATACCAAAGCTAAAAAGGGTGACAAAGTTTTAAACACGACACACAATTCAAAATACTGTTTTATGTGAGCTATTTATGTATATTTTATACAGATCCGGTCAGAGAAAAGATAAATAAAATATAGAAATTTAGAATAAGATAATAATGGACTTAAATTTTTAATTTTAAACATACCATATAAAAAAAGCTAAAATAAAACTGACACAGATTCGTCGATATTTTTTATATCGAATAATTGTCTTGATATTAATGAAACATTCTGCCAAATTAGTTTACTAAGTATGTCAATAGTCTAATTTGAAAATTATTACAAAAAGGTGATTTCTATTACACTTTTGTATATACAGATTCGATGACAGCTGTTTAATTTAATTTTTAATTTATGCCAAACAAATTTATTCTCTAAAAATTTAAGTATGGTCTAATTCAAAAATCAATCTTCAAAATCTAATATTTTTATATATTATATTATTATATCATTCTGCTTATATAGATTGAATGACCATTTATAACAAAAGTAATATTTTAAATTTACATGGGATTCTTCAACAAATTCGAATTAAAAAATAAAAACAAAGACGTTTTAAATTTTCTACAAAAAGAATAGATATCAAATATATGTGTGTCTACTGTGACAAAATATCTGTCTCTGCTTCATATATTTTAGAAAAGCTTTTAACTGTTCATATTACAGCCCATTGCACTTGTTAAGCTTTTAACGCCAGATCTATGACGCCCTTAAAGTTGAGCTTTTCTTGTACAGAATTCATTGAACTACGGCGAATAAATAGCCAATTTAATATATATATATATATATATATATATATATATATATATGTATATGTATATATATAAAATTGAATTTTAGTTCAAATATTTCAGAAAAAACGGGAGCTTTTAGTTCAGAAAATAAAATCATAACATACTAAATGTAAATATTTATTAAAAATCCTTAATGTGTTGAATAAATTTGTAACAGATATTTTTAAATTTTAAAAAACATGTTTTTAATATTGAATGTTTAATATTTTTAAATGTTTTGTACAAACTAAAATTCCTATCTTCCAATGATAACGCAATAACTATCTTTTCAAAAACCACCCTTATCCATTTTATTTTTATTTATCTAAAAGAAACAAGGGCGTCGAAAATTTGAAACCTTATCTTCAGGATTTATTAGAGATTAGTTTAAAAAGGCGTATGATACGAAAAACACGTCTGCTGCCGAGGGACGTGGAATGTTGCGAACGTCGTTAGAGTTTTTTAAACCGCCCCATTTTCAAGGGATGGTGCATGAGACAAATGCGGTTATTGTATAGTGGAATTACATGGGTAAAATATTAACTGCATGGATAACGAAAATACAAAAGTTTAAGGATACTAACTACATGGCAAATACATGGCATTTTACCAGTATTCAGTAGCATTTTGTATGAAAACTAGAACGCAACGTAGCCTTGCCATAACATTGGTCTACTTTATTTGGCCATATACAATTGGCCCATAAATTTGTGTTAATAGTTATTTCAGATATGTCGCCCTATATGTTGTTTGCTTGCAAGTCATTAATGCATTACAATTTATAATTACGAAGAAAAATTTCA